GGGGGGGCCGGGGGGGGAAGGGTTTAGAAATAGAACCAAAAACGAGTACTCACTCGAACGAGATCATCGACTTGTCCTTTGCTGCGTAAACTCCCACCTACTGTCCTCCCACCTGGCGGCAGGGTCATGCGCGGCTTTGACTTCCCTCCTCCTCCTCCTCCTCCTCCTTCTCCTCCGCGACTTGGCTGTTCCCCGCCATCCGTCCTTAGATCCTGCATCAACGCAACTTCTCTCTCTCTCTCTCTCTCTCGCTCGCTCGCTCGCTCTCGCTCTCTCTCGGCTTTGCCCCTTTCAACGGATGGCTAACGTTTCCCTCCTCGCCCCACCACCACCAGATCCGCAACTTCGTTCTCCCAAAACCACCTCCACCTCCACCTCCAATAGCCTGACCAAAGGACAGGTCACAACGAATCTAGGCTTCTTCTCAAGGCACACGCCTACCAACAGAATCTCTCTCTCTCTCTCTCTCTCTCTCTCTTTTCCCGATCAAGGGAGGTCAACCACCCACTCCCTCGGTTGTGATGGCATCAACCCAGCGATCGTCCAGGTTCAGGGAACCTTCTCTTCCATCCTCTCTCCTGCTTTGGCGAATACCACAAAACGAAGAAAAAAAATGGAAAAAAACTCCAAATGGACAAACCGCAAACAGACAAGTGCCTCACTCCACTGCTCAACATTCTACATGTACATGGACAAGTTTCTCCACCGTACACATTTGGATTTTGGAATGTATCGGGACCACTGCCATCTCTAGATACATTTAGAATGTTGTCCACTCGCGCCGGGCCCTAACCCACCATATGCAAGCAACTCTCCACTTCTTCCACCCATCCACTCTGCTTCACCTAGCAGCCTCTCTCTCTCTCTCTCTCTCTCTCTCTATTCCCGCGCGTGCATCTCCTCAGTGTCCCGTGTTTGGGACAAATTCAAATCAGGACCTGCCTTGACGCATTCGACAGCAATTACCCCCATAGTACCTGAATGTATCTGGCATAACTAAATTCAAATCAGGACCTGCCTTGATGCATTCGACAGCAATTACCCCCATAGTACCTGAATGTATCTGGCCGCAGTTACGCCTTGGTGCATCATTCGACTGCAATTACCTCCATAGTACCTGAATGTATCCGGCCGCATTTATGTCCAGAGCTGAGTCGAAAAGTCCTGGCTTGACTTTTGCCTTCATCACACTGCTAGCAGCCTTCTCCCTCAGTTACTTATTACGCACACACCGCCCACCTGTCTGTCTGTCAAATGTACCTTCCCCCAATTACGTCCAGAGGGCACATCTCTATCTAAGTGGACGAGAGGATCGCGTATTGTCTTTTCCCGCCCGCCCGCATGCATGCTCCGTCGAACGTACATGACCGGATTTACGTCCAGGTGCCTGGAAACGAAAAAAAAAAAAAAAAATCACGAAAATAACCAATTCAGTATCTGTTCACTGAGAGAAATGCCACGTCAGTAATCTTCTGTCCACTGCGGAAAAAAAAAAGAAAAAAAGCCGCTCAATAAATTTTTTTTCTTTTCTCAAGGGGTGGGAGAGGGGGGAACCCCTCAATAATCATCACTTCAGTGCACAAAACAATCCCAGCAAATAAAATAATAATTTAATCTCTACATGACGAGAAAATATATTACGGAAAATTTTAATCAAAAAAATTATGCGCAGATGAAAAACAAGCTGCTGCCGAATACGTGTTGCCTTCTGCGGCAAAAAAAAAAAAAAAAAAAAAAAATGCCAAAAAACAAACAAAAAAAAAAAAACACTCCCATCCTCCCATCTCTTCTGCTCTTCCTGTGTGAGATATGGACTACCGTCTTCCCCCGAACACAACGCACTCTCATTACGACTGCATCCAACTGGAAAGATGGCTTGTATCTGTCTCTTATACACATCTAGATGTGTATAAGAGACAGCATTATAACAATACAGAGAAGATTAGCAGGGCCCCTGCAAGCAAGGATGACACTCATAAATCGAGAAATGGTCCAAATTTAAATTATATAGAAAAAAAAAGCATGGCCCCTGCGCAAGGATGCCACACATACATCGAGAAATGCTCCAAATTATTATTAAACACACACACACACACACACACACACACACACACACACACAAACAAACAAACAAACCAACCAAAAAAAAAGCGGCCGCTCAGGTATGCTGGCAAATTTACCGCGTAGGTAAAATTGCAGAACTACCCTTCCTTTTTCAAAGGTTTCTATGCAGATGTACAGCCCGGTCCCTGCTTTCGTAAGAAGGGACCCGTCGGCCTGGCCTGGGGCCAGGGCTCCAAGGCCCACGGGTCCTCTGTTGCAAAACCAGGTACCGCCCGGGGTATATTTGCAACTGAAATGGTACGGACCTGGTCCGTATTTCTGCACAGATACACCTTAAAAGAGGCTGGGCTGCTCGCAAAGCTAACGTGTTTGTTTGTCACCATACCACCGCGGACAGGTAAAATTGCTACAAGACATTTGCAAACCGGTATTTCTGCAATTTGCCCACCTGAAAAACAAAAAAAAGCAGCAGGCGTAAGGGGGGGAAAAACAAACAACACAGAGACCACACCAATGCGGCGAGAGAGAGATAGAGAGGGAGAGAGAGAGAGAGCAGACGACAGCGGAGGCGCACGTGGCGAGTACCAGTGCTCCCGAAAAGAGAAAAGGAAAAAAAAAAAAAAAAAAAAAAAAACATGGGGCAACAATAACTCGAAGTAGCTGGAAGCGACCGATAGCTCTCGCCCCCCGTCGTTAGGTGCCGGTACTGGCAAGGTAGGACTGAAAAAGCGGAGACATCATCATGAATGAAAATTGTTGGTCGGTACTGGCACGTCCCCCGTCCTGTGTGTGTAACTTTTTCTTTTTTTTCCAGGGTAATTCTTTGAAGCCCAACCAATTCACTTACCTGTCAAAGGCTTGAAAGAAGCAGCCTTAATTGAAACAAAAAAAAAACAAAAAAACAAAAAACTCGGATTTCGACCTCTGCCGCGCACTTGCGGTTTGGTTCTGAGCAGGGCCCGTGCTGAATGTATTCATTCTTTTTCCTTTCTTTTTTTCTTATCAAAATCGAAGTATTTATTCCGGGGGCCAAGTCCCACATACACCGTTGAGCCAGTTCACCGTTGAACTACCGTCTTCCCCCGAACACAACGCACCCGCATTTTGGCTGTATCTGGCCGGAATATAGCTTGTATACATTCATTTTTAGGGTGCGTTATGTTCGGAGGAAGACGGTAGCTGAACGTGTGTGACCCCACGCGATGTCTGAGATGCATCGGGAGCTGCACACATCCAGCGGTTGTTCTTAGGTGTATAAAATAAAAAAAGACTTTCATTTTTGTTTTTTGGTTCAGGAAAGGTGCTGAAAAATCCCTCCGCCCGAATACAACGCCCCCTACCCAGCCCATCTTCCGTTGAACTCTACATACCCCACTTGGAGTGGAGTATGGGTTCAACGGTGCTTGTGTCATCATGACCTTGGGCCTCGCTGCACTACTCTCGAAATGTGCAAAACGAGATGAATCTTCACTAGAAACATGGCGAGATACGCCCCCATGATTTTTGTCTTTTGTGCATGTCGAGAGCAGTGCAGCGATGCCCCTTCTGTGGGATGACACTCTGACATCTGACAATCTGGGGGAGGACACTTTCTTTTTTTTTTTTTTTTTTTTTTTTTTTGGGAGGACACTCTGACATTCTGTGGGAGGACGGTCTGACAGAGAGTGTTCATGCTGTTTGGCTATGCAGCCCCAAACTCGTTTCTGCGAATGCACCAAGCCAGGAGTACTGTCTACGTTCATTTCACGTTCTTGCGGAGCCTTTCACTGAGGATGGTTGTATTTTCCATTTTACTTTTCAGAAAATACGGACAAAGATTTCTTTTTTTTTTTTTTTTTTTTTTTTGGGAAAGCATAAAGATTTCAATAGCATTTGGTTATTCATTGTTTTTTGGGAAACAGAGGGACAAAAGCTTTCAGCAGAATTTGATTCTCCTTTTTCGCCTTTGTTTGGAGTTTTTAAGCCGCAAAAACCGTGTCACCGTTGCGTTGAGCTACCGTCTTCCCCCGAACATAACCCACTCTAAAAATGAGTGTATATACAAGCTCTATTTCCGGCCAGATACTGCCAAAATGCGGGTGCGTTGTGTTCGGGGGAAGACGGTAGTTCAACGCTGCATGTGGGACTTGGCGCGGGGCCCAGTGCCAGAGACAAAGTTACATAAATTATACCAACAAAGAAAAAAAAAAAAAAAAAAANGGGGGGGGGGCGCAAGGCCTCCATTCTTTTTCCCATTTCTTTTTTAGGCTATTTACCATTTCACGGTCAACCTTGCGTACTCCTGGAGCAAGGTCCCCATTAGCAAAGAGGATTGGATTAAGCTCCTGAATCTGGACGTGTTTTGAGCAGAGATGCAGAAAAGCTGTTCAATCTCGAATTTCTGCACTTATCCAGGAACACGTCTAGATTCCGGCGTTCAATCCAATCCATGTTGCTAGTGGGACCTCTCCCCTGGGGCCTGGTCCCACCAGCAAAGACGATTGGATTTAATTTCGGAATTGGGATGCGTTTTGTGGAGAGATGCAGAAAAGCAGATCAGTCATAACTTTCTGGATCTCTCGGCAAAAACACGTCCAGATTCAGGAATAAAATCCAATCCTTTTTACTAATGGGGCCAGGCCCCTGCTTCAGCACCCAATGGGTGGGTATACCGGATGCTGCTTCTTTCCTTTTTTTCTTCTTCTTTTTTCCAATGGACCACCACGGATCAGATATTAAACTGATCAGGGCCGAGGTCCCATTAGCAAAGAGGATCGGATCGAATGCCTGAATGTGGACGTGTTTTATGCAGTGATGAAGAAAAGCAGTTCAATCTCGATTTCCTGCACCTCTCGACAAACACGTCCAGATTCAGGCATTCGATCCGATCCTCTTTGCTAGTGGGACCACGCCCCAGAACAACAGATACCACACTTATGATGGTAGGAGCTAACTTCTTCCCCCGAATACAACGTACGGTCATTCTAGCTGTGTATCTAGACTGAAAAATGCGTCAAATACAGCTACGATGACCATACGTTCTATTCGGGGGAAGAAGGTTGCCCAATACGTACCACCATCTGATTCTCACCCCCCAGATACGGGGGAGTCGAACTCGACCAGCCCAACTGGGGACAAAAAAAAAAAAAAAACTTTGCCAAAAGGCCTTTTCTTTTTTTATTTTTTCCCCTTTTTTTCCCCTTTTAATTTTTGGGAAAATTTGTCTGGCCCCTCCGA